GACATTTTTTCGACATGGAATTTAAAATTTTGTTTTAAAACTCACACAATTTTAAAAATTAGGCCTATAATACTAACTACTAAAGAGGGAAAGGGGGCATCTTTTTGAGATGGGCTTCTCAAGATTTAAAGCCCATTGTTGGGCTTCTATTCGAGGTTGTACAGTATGCAAAAACATCCTGAGTTCTTGATCGTGTGATTGGTTGCATTGAAGGATACAATATGTATCCTCATATAACAAAGGGGATAATGCTGACATTTTACAAGGTTGGGGTCTGGGGTCAGTCCTGATGATGACCCAGAGTATTCCTGGTCAAAGTTTGTGTTTACATCATTATAATTGTAAGAAAAATGAGCTGGCACCAATTTCACTTGCATTCCAAATGGACCCACATGACTGAGGTGAACTTAAGGTCTTGTATTTATTTTATTACTGGACCAGAATCACTCAATACCCCCTACCACAAAGCTAGCGTAACAAGACAAAAAATTGGAATTGCCAATAGCAGGGAGTGGAATACTATAATAATAGGTACTGAATACCAAATAGGTTAACAATTACAGATATGTTGAAATATTAGATACTGTTAATGCTAAATAGGTCAAATGTATAATACATCTGTCTGACACATATATTGCTGTTAAATTACTTCCAAAATAATTATATTTCGTATAAAAATAAATCTCTAACTTCTTTTACAGATGTTTTGCCAATTTAGCTGACTATGAATATGTTGTAACAGGGATTCATGGGGATATTATAAAATAAAAAGATTTTCCTTTGTGGCCGTCTCTAAATCTTCCTGTTGGAGAATGATCATCTCTTGTGCATTGGACGGCTTTGATAAAGTTCAAAATTAACCAGGCAAAACAGCATGCAATCCTCATGTTCCGAACATTTTTTCATGGCCGGTAATATAGCTAGTTCACTATATAATTCTTTCTTCTCAACAAACAAAAAGGCCAACAAATAAAAAATTCTTGTGTTGGCCACGTTTTGGGAAAATCCAAAAAATGGGTTGGTCGGTAAGAAATTTTTTTTTTTAAACCAATTGTGTTTATGCCTAAAAAGTAGAAAACACACAAAAATACAACAAAGACCATTTTAAAATCTATATTTAAGAGCAAAACGATCGCATAACACTGTTGCATCACCTACCGTCGCAAGATAGACCCATTCTAGCCTTTTTAGCTTTAAAAATAATTTTTGTTGTAGTCAAAAAAAAAAATCTAAAATGCCGACCCTCAATTTTGAACATTTTGGGGCGATCGGGCATTGGCCAACACAATCATTTTATTTGGTCCAATACAGTAGCATCAATCTAGGAGGTTACTGTAGGTGCACTTGAGGCACTATAACATTTTTGGAAGAGCTAAGTTGGTGTTCCATAGGCATATTCAAAATAAATATTTAAGGTTAGGTATATTCTAAATGAATATTAAGGTTTATAATGTAAAGTGGTAGTATAGCAGATCAATTAATAATAAAGGTGGATTTTAATAAGTGTATATTGCTTGAACTTTACAAAATTAAACCAATATGAGGAACTACTAGTTAAAAAACATTCTGTTCTAATAGGAATATATGAATATGGTATTCAAATTTCACTTCTTTTTTATTTTGTGGTTTTGGTTTCTGTTCCATCTTTACACTTGTCTGATAGCGCTTAGAGACTTTTTGTATTTTGCGCTCTATAAATTAATAACCATTAACCATTAACCATTCTATTATATTTGGTCCTTTTATAGTGTGGACACAAACATTTTATATATGAATGCTACAAAAATAATGATGGTATCAATAGTGAGATGTACTGTATGCTGTAGCACACAGGAATGGGAATGTGAGATAAATAACACATAATGAATAGAAATTAGAAATGGCAAGTGCAGTTAAATAATGATACACCTTGTTTTTGTTGTGACTAATATTTGTAGTTTGAATCTTTGTATTTATTTTTTGTTCTTGTTAGTTGTTAGTTTTGCAGATTGGCGTTAGAGATATAAATACTTGTCATTCAGTGCATATTTATTTAGGATGATGAATACGATCCTCCTAATACATAAATATTTGTATTGGCTCATCAATTTGCGATGATATTACTATATTTGACTTATCAAAACATGCCAAAATACTGTCCATCATTATTAGAATATTGCCCTGATTATGGATGAGTGACATCAAAAGAGAGATATTTTTTGTTGTTGATATTATGGCCATGTTATCATCATGCTTGTACATTCGTCTGCCATCAGCATATTATTGTCATCATCAACATCATCATCTTCATCATTATAATCATCATCATCATCATCATCATAAAAATAATAAGGTTATATCATCATCATCATATAATCATATCATCATCGTAATTATCTTTATAATTATTTGTAAAATTACATCATTATTTAAAAATATAATACTATAACATTCATAATATCGTCATCATCATAGTTTAATTCTATTTTAATGCCTTACTATAGCAATCTCAATTGAAGATAAGATGATTGTGATTGACTGTGCTCCTAAATAGAGCGAAGTATTATTTCACTATTAATATCTTCAATTCATCAACAACAAAGCATTAATCACACAATAATCAAATCAATGGAATATTTCTGATAAAACAAATATTTTTGTTTCTACTTCAGTGACTGCATCAAATCCATGATAGCCCGATTGTAGCTTGGTTGTCATAGTAACATAGGCTAGGCTCATTCTACTGGCTGTGCTAGGGTCATCAGTCAGAGAGAAAAGCATGTTAGGTGGGCTTTAGTTAGCCTTGGATGTCACAAAATATTAGATAGGTTTTAGATAATTATACCACATAATACACCTCCTATATGCAAGTTGAATTTACCAAAAAATATAGTATTTTTTTTATATTCCTAAGCTGAGGATTCATAAGAAATAAATTGAACAGTAATGCTTGAATCTGAAAAAAAACCCAAAAAACAAAAACAATCCCCAAAACATGAGTTTCTCATATTATATTTGTTTATTTTTTATAATAATCTTTTCCAATATCATGTTTTTACTGGTGCACTGTACTATTTTCCTTTGTAATTATCTTTGCCGTGCGTCAAAATACTATGTATGGTACGGTTGATATGGATTCACTCAATATCCTTATTGATGAAAGCAATCCAAAAGAAGGGATTTTGTCAGCCAGTGTTTTTTAGGTCATCTTACAGTAAACCCTATAAAAAAATATTAGTTCTAGTTTCACTCTATCTAGGCTTGAAAAGTGATGAGGGAAGGACGGTATAAAACAAATAATGTCAATAATGTAAAATCTGATTTTTGTTGGACATAACCACCAAAACCAATGGGTCCACTGATATTAAAAATATCACATTTAACTCTGAAACAACTAAGAAAAGTCATGGTTGAATACATTTTCCACAGTGTTACTTCACATGCCTGTGATTATATTTACCAACAAACATTACCACTTGAAACTTGATGATTTTTTATTGTAATCTATTCCTATTAGACCAGATTCCTTTAAAGAATATACAAATTATTCAGAGGAATGTTTGTAAATAGTAATATCTTTTTGCATGTTGTTATTAATAATGTGATATTGTTGATAGTTTAGATGAAATATTTTAACAACAATCAAACCATGCAGCAGCCATTTCAAAGCACTCAACCAAAATTACCTGAACAAAAGATTAATTGAAAATTTAATTAATAGGATTAACTTGTTAAAGCTAATTAGTGACTACAGCTTTTTATATTTTTTTTAAATGACTTTTTGTTAGCCACTTGTTCTGCTCTACTAGTTATAAAAAGTGAATGAATAAAAATGTAGTGGTATGAAGCAACAGGGGTGCCTGATGGATTATCATTTTTAACCTATAGTAAACCCAAGGTCATTTTATCGGGGATGCTGATTGGAGGGGTGTAGAGTAGAGGACCAGGTATTCTACATTCCAGCTAATTTCAGCACCATTTGAATGCTGTGTTGTTGGCATACCACACCAGATTTTACAATATTCTGTGTACAGTTTCTGTATATTATTGCTAAATAGGACCAAGATATCTTGTACTTCAGTGACTATAAACTTTCTTGTAAGTTTGTAAAATGTTTTGTTATTTTGTTTCTAATTGTCATTCACAAATACTGTATTTGTTTTTAAAATTTTCCACACATTCTTACGAATCATTACGTTATATTGAGTTAGACCAAGGAGCATATTAAAAATGCATAAGGTATTATTAGGTAAAAATTTCAACTTGATATAACACATTCAAAATGCCGTATTCACTTATAGTTCATTAAAGTATAGAACCTTTTTATTTTTGCCTAAGTTTAGCTACCATTAGCAGAGTTGCATAAAAAGATAGGTTACCATATTTAGACCTGCTGTAAAGTATTTTTCCCCCTTTTCAATTAATATTTTCAAAAAAGATTTTTACATTTGATGTTTAGTTTTTAATAATTATAAAAATAAAAATGTCATAGTTTTTTTGGTTGTTTGAAATGATGTTTTTTTTTCAACACAAATGGCAGTTTCTTAAACATTGTTATACAGGTATTATAAAAATGATTTTTTACAGTATGATATTTTAAATTATTTATCAGTAATTTTTTTGCAATTTTCTAGTATGTTTTAAAAATATTTAGCTAATGACAGACATTTTTGTCATCCGAAGGTTATACAAATTTAATATAATACTGGGTTCATTATCATTTGGTATTGTCGAATGAAAACAAACCATGTGTTGTCCACACTTCTGTACATAATATGTTTATTAAAATCCATTCATTGATACTGGAGGTAAAAGTATAGAGAATGGCTTGAGGGTAAGATCATTAGAATTATTCTACTCTATTATGAACTTGAATACATTAAGAGAACAAAATAAAATTTATTGATTATTAAGTTAAGGTGAAAGAAGAAATGTATGTTGTTATTTGTTTTGTAAGTTATATATTGACAAGAAGCAAAAAAATGGCCACTTAATTCAATGTTATTTGTTTCATTTCACAGACAGTGGCTATTTGGTTGAGTGCAATCAATGGCAAAGTTCCAAACTGTACTCTGATCAGCTCCGGAAGTCCACTTTGAATGAATTTTATAATAAATTTGAAATTCAGTTACTATGGATTATTACATGCCCAGGGATGCTGGTCCTCTGGATAACCAGAACTACTCCAAAAGCAATTACATGAGAGATATTAATGACAACCAGTGGCCAAGTTCAGAAGGCATTCGCCAGTATCACCAACCAATTGATGACTACAATTACTACAGAGATGGACGACAGGAAGAAACATCACATTCCATTGAGAACCGCCAGAGGATCGGAAGAAATCCAAATGGGAGCATGGACAGAAATCACAGAGAAAGACTTCATCAGTCCTCAACAGGTAGTCCATTTATCATTCACCAGTCCTCAATGGAGTTCCGTAAAAGTCGGCTAATGGTAGGAAATTACCAAGGAGCTCCAAGCTATTCAAGGTCTGCTGATGATGCTGGTCTGTACTTGAGAAAAGATGAGTACCAATCAGAGGGTTCTCGAGGTTATGGAAATAGAAATATAGACCAGGAAAGAGCTCAAAGTGGATCAAAAGAAGCGAGTCAGAGAAAAGCTCCAGCGAAAGAGTACCTTCCTCCTCAAGTAGCTAAACCAGACCCAAGAAATTATCATAGATCAGGGATTTCATCTCAAGCAAGACCAATAGTTGCTTTGCCACCAGATGTGTCTCCTGTCAAGAGATCCTCTAACCATCATGCATATTTTCAAGAACAGTCACGGTCACCACAAGTTGCTCTACAAGATCGCTCTCCACAAATAAGAAGTCCTGCTTCAAACCATTTATCTCAAGAGACAAATAGAAAGAACATGTCTCATGAGCACCATCATAGCCTCTACAGGGGTAGGCCAGATTCACAGACCAGTTTTGCTTTTGATAAAGAGGAACGATACTCACCAAAAGGCTACCAATCACCACAGTCACCATCTCTAAGAAATGACTCGAGACAGGCGTACCATGGATTACCTCAAACTCAGAGATCTTACCAACAAGAAGGTTCAGCTCATTCAAAGGAACGCTGTCATAGGTCTACATCCTCTCCAGTAGCAGCACCACTAAGCTCTCCAACTCAGAGATATTCCCCAAAAGGAATTACCAAGGACTATCAGGGCAAAGCAGAACACTTGATAAAGTCAACATCCTCTCCAGCAACAGCTGATCCAAGAAAGAAAAGGCCATCTGGTGGAAGTATCACATCTAGTGACATTGAACTAAAAAATCAAAGATCTGTGAACATTGTGGATTTAGACAAAGTGATGACATCACCAATGCTGGCAAACGTTCCTGTGGGAAAGGTTACTAGCCCTGTCAGTCCAGATTCTAGAACAGTTAGGAAAACACCAGATGACAAGGTGGCAAGGACTTTTAACTTCAAAATATCAGAAGAGAAGGAAATGCCGGATGTTATTGGATGGGAAAAACAGCCAAACCGACAAAAACAGGTTAGATTTCATAACTTGATTTTTTATGTGTATTTAAATAGCAAGCGTTTTGGGTTTAGTTAAAGTGATGTAGTGCTGCCTGTAACAATAATTTGAACTTGAACCGTAGGTTTCTGTGATTCTGGTGAATCCTCTTTTTTGGTGAATGCTCTCATATAAAGCAAACCAACCTTGTACATATACCTGTAAACCATCAAAATGATGATTACTGTATATTCACCTTTTACAGGCTATGCCTCTGCTCCAGGAGATTTCATCCCCACTCTGTTCCTTGTGTTGCAGTGTCCGATGCCATATGTGGGCTGATATAACTGCAAAATATATTAGGAATTCTAAGAGTAACTTGCAAGCTGAAAAAAAATAAATTTTGATTCATTTTCTATAATTTGCATCCTTGAACTAAATTTTAAGCTCATGCCTAGTAGTATAGATTATTATTCTAGTAATTACAGACTGAACTAAAGGCATTGGTGATTATATAAAACAAATTGTAAACTAGTGTAAATTGAACATAGCATTATTGATATGAAGCCAGTCCACCAAACCCACAGTTCCAGTGCAAATATATTTTATCAAGTGTTTTTTTTTTTCTACATAACCTTTAACCTATAATTGATAATTGTTTTTACCTAATTATATGCTTGGAAACTTTCAGATATTTTGAGCATTTCTAAAATTTTAATTGTTAAAAGGATCATTAAGAAGATGATTTCTCATACCTCCTGTGTTTGCTTAACCCTACAGGATTCGCCACTACTTTTTCATGCACCATTCCGATGTGCTCCTTAATTTCCTCTGAGATTTGTTTTCATATAATCGTATTAAGATGTTTGGAGCTTTATCTCTGAAATGCTTGATTTAAGAGACCAATTACCACAATGATTTACTAACAGGCAATTAATACTGTATGTTGCAGTTCTCTTTGCACGCAATAAAAAATCCAAATTAACAGTAATTTTGGTGTAATATTATTAGCCTATTCTGTAAAGTTCAACCTAAAACCTGACACTAAAATATTATTATATTTTTCGTGGGAATACATTACAAAATAGGGAAATTACGTAGGTGCAGAATTGTAACAACGGTGTAAAATTCATTGGCAGTGTATCAAGATAGGAAGGTCATAGCTTAATTATGCAAAATTTGCACGAAAATCTGCCATTTCTTAAATGAGTGGAATTATATCTCGGCCTAATTTTTTGCATGTGGGGCTATTTTTCTTGTACGTGCACTCTTTTGTCTGAAGACTTGCTACACACAAATGAATTCAACCAACTCAGCTACTTTGGATTGTTTTCAATTTAGCAACAGTTCAAGCAAATAACATACATTTATATATAAACCAAAACAAAACTAAAAAGAGAAAAAGTGTACAGAGTTAATTTTTTGATAAAATCTGGGATAACTTTAAATCCTTGAACAGGATTTATTTCCATTGCTTTCAAAAAGGGCCTCACAGAAAACTTATTTGCAATTATTATTCAGTGCAAATTGCTTAATAGGTTTTGCTTTCATAATGCAGTGAGCCAAATATTTATTAAATATTCACTTGTACTTGAGAAAACATCTGAGTTAAAAGTAGTCAGTTGCTCAACAGATGATGTGATGATGTGTTTGTGCGCCAACTTTAGAGCACAAAAGACTTGTAAATGAGGACATAACCTGTTCAAATGACATGTGCCTAGATTAGGATTCACATAACATGCTGGTTTCTCAACATGCCTATCGTTAATGTAATTGCAGGTATTTTTCAGGTAATACCTACACCCCAGTAGGTGGGGTACATATTTGGGTGTGAGAAGACCCACTTTCTATGTGAAATTCTTAGCTTATCTTGACACCTTAGTTCCTACAGTATCTTGCAGGAACTCTGTAACACAAGTGTTCCCATACCCCCTCCCCCTACCTCTAATGTTTAAAGTGAGGAGTTATAATTGATTGGAAATGTAACAACAATAAAATTATAGTAATTACCGTTTGTACCGAGTAATTAAAATTGAAGATATTTAGATTATGAAGTGGATAACTTGAATTTAGTGGTTATGACTTCCAATTTAATCCCAGTGTCCAATGTTGAAATTTATAAAATTTTAGGTTTGTTTTTCACACTTAATTAAAACAAATTCAATGTTGTGAAATAAATTTTTGTGAAGCTGTACAACATTTTGTTTTGATGTTTTCTGTCTTTGGATAATCCATTAACTAACATTTTCCTGTGAGATTGCCCCACTTGATGCGTGGAATGATGACAGTTTATTGGATTCTCTCCAAGTAACATTACAACGTTAGATGGGTACAAGGGATATAATGGCTTAAGAAGTGTAATTTGATTGCATTAAAACATTGTTATATTAGGTTGTTGCTATTGGCAAGAAAATAGTTCAATGTTATGTTATGCAGCTCATTATGAGGAGATTCATTCCAGTTATGATCAGGGTGATTCTCATAGAAAACAGGGACTGAATTTATATTCTGAATTTGAATGAAAAAAATGTAATTTGTTTGACATTTTTAAATTTAGTATTTTGCCTAGTGAACATAAGAAATTTGGTTAGTTTTTCAATTAATTTGAAAAATATCTTTGTCTAAAGTTTTCAGTTTTTTATTAGATTATTAAATAAATATTCTTTGCAAATTGTGGTTGTCTTCATGTTGGGACAGCTGGAGTAATGTATTGCTGGTCTTGTTTTACTTCTGATATTAAGGCAAAACTTTTTTTATACCTTGTTTCGCGAACTTATTTTTTAAAGATCATCAGATGAGGGCGGGAAAAAATAAAAATAAAATTTTCTTTTTTAGCAAATGGTTTTGTTCAAAAACATGCAGACAGGGGAGAAATAAAAATAAAATTTTATTGGTGAAACAGTGTAGTAATGGGATGGTTAAATGCTTAAAGTTTATGTAATTAGGAAGAAAATATACATCTTATTTTTGGAGATTTCAAATCAGCAGCGAGCGTAATAAAAGTAAAGAAAAACTTAATTTTTTTCATAAATTTTCATTTTTTCGTAGGGTGAGTGAGTGCTGTAATTGGCCAAAAATAAAATTTTATATTTATTAGAAATCATTATTGGCAGGCATCTGATTTGCTAAACAAGGTGTAAAAATGTCTTGTCTAATGACCATATTCCATCAGGACCCGAAGTATAGAGTAACACATTACTTTATAATACCAGCTCGCCAAAACTGAATAAACCATGCTTGGTTCTTAGAAGTATATTTAATGGCTTGTTTTGATGTTCATGTTTATGTTACTAAGATATATCCCAGAGGGTCATTCTTTTTTCTAATGATTTCATTTGGCCTATAGTGACACATAAGCCAACTTGACTGTGGTAGGCCAACTTGAAGCAGTGTCCCAAGGATTTGAAAATTAATCAGTCTGTTAATCATAACTCAGAGGACAGAGTTCGCCCTGTCAAAGTACTTTGCTTGTTCGTACTTCTTTCCTCCTCCTGCACAGCTTAGATTCAGTAACTCTTCGCTGTGACAGTATAGTAAGTAGCAATTATTGGTTTATCCAAGTCAGTTGATTTACTTCTCTATGTTTATACTCTCATTGATTAGTCTTTACAGGACTTGTGAACATTTAAATTAGGATAGCATACGAAGGATAAATAAATATAAAGAATGGGAAACAAGTGTGGGTCTTGTCAACAGAGGAAGAAGGCAAGTATTATTTTACAAAGATTCATTGTATCGTATTTTTCACTCCTTGTCGAAGTCATGTTTACATCTGTCTAAAGTGTCAAATACTGTAGGCTGTACTTGTTATTACTAAAGGTATACTCTCAAAAATTTGCTAATTTCTTTATTTTATTTTATTTATTTATTACCATCTTTAACCTGGATTACACAATCATATGCAGAAATGTTTTTCATTGTGGTCCTGGAAGGAACTGAAAAATATAATTCAATAGTAAATTGTAAATTATTAGTTAATTTAAAAATTAGCAAGAGAAAATATTTTTCATTCCAATTAAACAGATTAATAATAATTATTTCTGTTACATTCTTCGCATTAAATCCTTAAATCGGTATCTAATTTATCAATATCAGAATATTTTTTGTATTACAAAATTAGCGAAAAACTTTTGATCTGTGGGTCATTTGATTCTTCTTACAGAGCAATTCCTCAGATTTTTCTATAGACATTTTTAAATATCTTGTGGGCATGGCATATCAAATCACCACTTAAGTAGTCAATTTAATAAATAATTTATTAATAACTTTTACAACAGAGTTTAAGCAGCATAATTAAAATATTGAAATTAACTTCAAGCAATTTAAAAAAAAACAAATTCTCAATAAGAAGTTAATAGTCCTTAAATTTGTTGATATTAATTAATATTGGTACTTATTTAAATGTGATAAGTATTTAGATGAATATTTCAATTTTTTAAATTCAATTTCAATTTATTCAAGAAAACCTCCGAGACGGAGAAGTATTAAAAAGAACAACAATGTACAACAAAAACAATTAATTAAAATGGACAATCTCATTACAAGAACAACAATATATTTACACAAACAATAAAAATGAATTGAGCATTAGTCTTTGTGTCTCATTGTTTATTCGGTAAGTGCAAAATAGAATAGCATGTATGGTAAACATGTTTTAAAATGTTAATTAAATTACTAGAACTTATTAATAATTAATTATTGTATATTTAAATCTATTGGAGACATATTGATAGTAAATTTCTGGCACTTTTATTTTGACTGTTTTATTTGATAAGTCTGTAATAATAAATAAATTCAAATGATTGCATTAAAATGAAAGTTTGAATAACCAATCAAAATCTAGCTTTAAAGTAATCCATCATCAAATTGATATTCGGTACACTTTAGAATTTCACTCACTTATAAATATCAGAGTAAATATCTCAATGTACAAATTTTGTAATGTGATATTACTTATTCAATTATTGATAAGTTTAAATTGAAAGTTGATTAAAATTAATATAATTGAAAGCACTTTATTATTCATTTAGAATTCATGCTCTAGTATTAATATTTCCATTTCTGTCAGATGCTAATGAATTTTTCACAACAATTTTACATAGATAGCCTACAATTTATATTTAGATGCCATAGGCTTTTGGCTAAATTGCTTAATTTTTATGATATGAAGAAGCTATGGTAAGTGGCACATCAAGGTAAGATTTGCCCATGCAAGCAGTGCAGTTGTCTCGGAAGGAAGCAAACATTTTGATGAAATAAACATTTGAGGCATGTCGTGGCAAAATGGTTAAATTGTCGCACAGGCCAGTATTGAGTAAATGAGCTTTAAAATATGGGAGCTCAAAAAATAGCCTAAAAATCCAAATTTGTTTTTCACTCTAGATCAACAGTTTAATGTCTTATTAATCATGTCCCAAAGTATTAGTTCTGGAAGTGGTCAACAAATTGTTTATCTAATGTTATTTTGATAGATTATTCTATTAAACAATGTATGCACAAAGAACTTTGAAAGGCAATTACTCAAAATCATGTTTATCTAG